ATTGAGATTGAAGGTGGGGTGGCTGAATGGCAGATAGATCTCATCCGCAGTTTCTTCCCTTCCCAGTTTTCCAGGATCCTGGTCCTGTCCAGGTAGGAAGCTGCAGAGAAGACACAGTGGCAGCTTCCAGGCTCACCCCAGAGTCCCAGGTGAGCTGGAGAACTAACCCACTCTGTCCCCTAATGTGTTTTACTGCTGTTGGACTTTCCAGGAAGGGCCCTCCCTCACCATGCCAACCACACACCATTCTTGGACCCGCATGGAAGTTGAGGTCTTTCACCCGTCCTGCGGAGGCTGTTCATCATTGTCTGCCTTCGCTTTAGTGTGCACCAAAGAAGTTTTTCTTCTTTCACTGCTAACCTGAGGAACTGTCTATGCTTCTCAGACAGACCTTCCTTAGACTGTTTGGCCGGCCGTTTCACCTGTAGGAATTTCTTCTTCAATAAGCACAGTTGTTCCCCCACACATGGAAACTGAAGGTCTCGGTGTAATGCTGATTTTTGTTTTGTTTCGTGTTTAAAAGTTTTATAGGCACTTAATCCACATATCACACAATTGAATAGTTCAATCATATCAAGAAGGTTTGTACAATCATTACCACAGTCAATTTCAGAACATGTCCCCCTGCCCCCCACCCAATGGTTAAATCACTTTTAAAATGAATTGTGTAATCACCCTCAGTTCTAGTGCTCACTCCCCCCTCCCACATACATTGTTTTCTGCCCCCGCTCCCCTCCCTATGTCCCACCCCACCCCTTCTTCCCCTATAAACCCTGCATCAGTCCTTATCTCTATGCAGCTACTCAACCCTGCATCAGTCCTTATCTCTATGCAGCTACTCAACCCTGCATCAGTCCTTATCTCTATGCAGCTACTCAACCCTGCATCAGTCCTTATGTCTATGCAGCTACTCAACCCTGCATCAGTCCTTATGTCTATGCAGCTACTCAACCCTGCATCAGTCCTTATCTCTATGCAGCTACTCAACCCTGCATCAGTCCTTATCTCTATGCA